GGTCGTCGGGGGCCCCCTGCGGCCTCGCGGGGCCACCTCTGGGGGCAGGAGGCTGGCGGGCCTCGGGGGGGCCTCCCGACGCCCCCTCGCGTCAAGATCTGAGCCTCGACGATACGTGTTAGGTCGGGCGTGTCCTCCTGCAGGCGGAGTTTGGACGGAGGGTAGTGGAACTAGTCTTATGGATGCCACGGCAGTGGACGCCCTAACAGTCCTATCATCGAATTGAGTGAAAGATGTGTTTAGAATGTCGGAAACTGTCATGAACATGTTTCAACCATGTTTTGTGCATGCTTAAAGCATGTTTAACACATGTTTTAGACATCTGGAAATTACTTGGCAACATGCTTCCTCTCCATTGATCGTCCTCCACAAAATGAGTCAAACATCAATATCATCCCCATACGATTGTTTGACTATGTTTGAATGTTCCCCCTGTAGAGGGACAGGCCCGACTTCATAGTGTCTTGCGCTTCTGCAGCGCAGGAAATCCGCCGACCCTGTCGGCGTGTGTGAGGGACTTATCTGTTCGAGTCGTCGTCTCCGTCAGTCGTCGTCTCCGTCGTCCCCTTTCCCTGCATCCTCCTCCTCAAGCTTGTCAGGGAGAGAAATATAGCAATGTCGTAATCGAGTCGAAGGGAAGCCCCTTCCCTTTGATCCCTCCCCCGTCGGGGGGCGGGTAAAAACATCTTGGCCACTGGAACCCCCCAAAGGGGGGGTCGGCAGCGGTGGACTTGGCAAGCCACATCGGTTCGCTTGACCCGCCGGCCCCTCGCATACACCCGGGTGGCCAGATAAGTCCGAGCGCCGATCGCCATCGCCATCGAAGGAGATCCGAGCTGGTTCGCAACCTTGAGCGCCACAACCAAGCCGAGATAATCGGACAGTTTTCTGCGTACGAAGCAGGAGTGGCCACTTGGGACCCGCACGGCCGCTTCGTCCATGGGGCAGTGCAAAGGGGGGTCACCACTAGGGGGGTCGCCACTTCCTCGAGGAAACGCCACTTCCTCGAGACTTCCTCGAGGAGCTGGGCCCCCCAGAGCCCCGAAAACGCAAAGAAGCGTCCAAGAACGTCCTCGACCCCTCGACTCTCCATCCTGGAACCTCGATTTCCAGGAAAAGCTGGCGACCCCCCCAGTGGTGACCCCCCTTGGCACTGCCTGAGTCCAAGAGGCTGCGCCAAAGGGCAGCTCTGGGCGAAGCACTGCCTCGCACGGCCGCGCCCTCGAGGACCCGCGGGGAGTCAGGCCAGGCCGAAGCGAAACGCGGCCTGAGCTTGCAGTGGAGGCCAGTCCGCAAGGAATCTGAAGCAGGAAACCCAACCCCGAGACCCCAGGACGTCCATCGATTTTCGGTGTGGGAGCGTCACGCTTTCCGCAGCAAGGCCATCGAAGCCCCAGAAAACCCAGGGCATCCTGGAGGAAGGCAGGGTGTGTCTTGGCACGGGTCTCCACTGGACTCCAAAGCTTCACAACATGTGTTGTTGTATGTTTGTTTGTATTGTTTGTACCTGTTTGCATTTTGTGTACATCTTGTTGTTGTACTTTCTTGTGCTGATCACGCCCACGGCGCGGTCGTATCCCCTAGGCTTGGGAAGCAGCGCGCTCCGAGTGGCAGAAACCTGCTCTGGCCAAGCTCTGAACTCTTCGATCGTCGCCCTGATTGAGCAAACTCGTCCACTCTTCGACTCCTTCCCTTGGAAGACGCTGCAGATCTTGAGCCGCGAGATGATCCACTCCGGGGGGCTGAGGAGCAGAACAAGAGAGGGGCGAAGACCTCCTGGGAGGCCTGGAGCGCGGGGAGAGGGCTCTCAAAGGCTCTCATGAAGGCGGTGTTCTTGGATTCTTGGATCTCTCGAGATCCTCTTCCGCGTCTACCAGGTCCGCCTCCTCCTCCTCCTCCTCCTGCTCCTCCGATTCCTCCTCCATCCTCTCAACCAGCCCCTTCTACCACTGCATGCTCCTCCACATCCCTGATCAGGGCAACTCATCTGGACATCGTTTCTAGATTGGTTGTTGCGGTTCGGCGAAGCGTCCAAAGCTTTGCACGTTGGCACTTTCTCGGGAAGCATTTTGGAGCCCTCTTGGGCGTTCTGGGAAGCCTGGTGGGCCGTCTCGAAACAGTTGTGGGCGTCGGCGTCGTCGGGGCGTCTTGGGGCCCTCCTGGCCTCCATTTCGGCCCGTTTGGCGTGCGGAGGCTCGTCTGGGGTGGAGTCTAGAGCAGTCCAGGGCCCCAAAGGCCCCCCATGCGGCACTTTGGCAGCGGCCCGCCCCCCCCCCCCCCTCCGGGGCCTGCTCCAATACGTGTGTGTATGTATGTATGTCTGTATGTATGCATGCATATATGCATGTCTGTCTGTCTGTCTGTCTGTCTGTCTGTCTGTCTGTCTGTCTGTCTGTATGTATGTGATTATGTATGTACGTAACGAATGAATGCATGAATGACCGAATGCATGACTGCATGTATGTACGTTTGTATGTATGTAAGTATGCATGCATGTATGCATGTATGTATGTGTGAATGTGCGTATGTATGCAGTATGCGTGCATGCATCTGTGAATGCATGTGTGCATGTATGTATGCCTGTATGTATGTATGTATGAATGTAAGTATGCCTGTATGTATGCATGTACGGGTGTATGTATGCATGGATGCATGTATGTGTATACGTATGCATGTGTGTATGTATACATGCGTGTGCGTGTGCATGTGTGCATGTATGCAGGTATGTTTCTGTGTGGGGGCATGCATGCATGTATGGATGCATATGTACTAGGTGCATGCATGCATGCATGCGAGCATTCATACGTACCTACGTACATACGTTCATACAGTCATACATGCATCCATATACACAGACTCACACATATACACATTCATCCATGCACACACAGATACACACATGCATACATGCATAATTCGAGAATTGTCACATATACATGCATACATGCATGCATACATACATGCACGCACGCATGCACATATACATACATACATCCATGAATACACACATGCATGTATGCATGCAGACAGACAGACAGACAGGCAGATCGACTGACACACACACACACATCCACATACACGTATACGTATACAGACATAGGACTATACGTGCTTATGTAGAAATGCGTATGCACAACATCCAAGCGGCTGCTGGGTTGGCCTGGTCCCTCGAGATCGGTGGCTCACCGTTGCCTCCATCGTGGCCCCCCGTGCCAGGCCCCGAGATCGGCGGCTCATCGTGGCCCCCCATCGTGACTGTGTAAAGCAGTTTAGGGTCTTCGGCCTCAAGGGTGTCACCTTACTTTGTGGATGCCATGACAATGGGCACTGTAACAATCCGGCCATTGAGCTAAGGATGTGTTTAAACTTTCTACAACATATTCTAGAAATGTTTCAAGCATGTTGTTTTTTAAAACCAGATTGAGAACATATTTGAAGCATCCTTCAGACATCTGGAGATTATTTGGCAACATGCTTCCTCTCCCTGCATCGACTTCCACGAATCTTACTCCGACTCCTCCAACCGAGGAAGATGGCGAGGACCCGGCACGTGGGGGCAGCTGGTCCCGAGGGCAACGGGTCCTGGACCCCGGGGGCCTCCCGCCCCAGGACCAGTCCGACTCACACCGAGTCGCGTTGCAACGGTCCTGGGGCACGTGGGGGCCCCCGAGAGTTAGGTCGGGCCTGTCCCCCCACAGGGGGATTTTGGACGACAAATTAAACATATTCTAAAAATGCGCAAAACATATACAAAAGATGTCCAACAATACTCGAAAAATAATCCCCTGACTATTTTCTAACTATTTTCGAACCTCCCCCCTGTAGAGGGACAGGCCCGACTTAACCCGAGAGCCCGAAAACACGGCGAAACACCTCAGGGCACGCTTCCCCCATGGCGAGGGATGCGGACGGAGCAGAATTCCCCGGACAGCTCCTTGGAGAGCTAAGAAGGCTTCAGATTCAGAAGCCGGAGCCGCAGGGTAGCCCTGGAGGTCCTTCCAGTGGCGGTGCAGAAGCCTCGGCGCGACTTGCTTGAACTTGCAGCGCGTCTCGAAGGGCTTTCTATAAGCGTCTCCCAATACGCGTGCCTGGAAGCTCTCCAAAAGGACCTTCGGAAGCTCTCTCCAGGTCCTTCCAGAATGCTTCCGCCAGGCCTCTCCACGCCCTTCGGGCGCCCTGGTATCCGGTTATTTGGACTACATGAGAAGGAGGGGGCTGACGGGGGAGGGAAGGTAGAGGCCTCTTAGATGGGGTCGGAGTAGATGGGGTCGGATGATCGCGCCGCATCGCCGATACGTCGGCGATGCCTCGGCGATGCATTGGCGATGCATCGGCGATGTACCGGCGATGCATCCTCCACGTCGGCGATGCATCGGCGACGTCGACGTGCAGCAAACGGGGCTGCGCATCGAGGCGCACCGCCGATGCATCGGCGGTGCGGCGCGATCCTCCGACCCCATCTACTCCGACCCCATCTGGGAGGCGTAGAGAAGGCGGCGGACGGGGGAGGAAAGGACGAAAGGGATGTCCTGTCTGTCACACGGGGCGGAAGAGGAGGAGGGGGCCGACGGGGGATGGGGGGCCGCATGCGAACCCTGCCCCTGCCCCCCCACGATTTCTGAGGGGGAGGGTGGGGTGGGGCTCGCATGTGGCCCCCTACTTACGCAGGACGAAAGATGTTCCTCCTGAGGTGAAAATGGCCATGAGGAGTTCGCGAGACAACGTCGGCGCCGCCGAACGGACGGCGACCAGACGAGCTGTTTGCAGCAACAGGGGTGAGAGGGATGTATGCATTCATGCTGAATGGCGCCCGCTCGCGCGGGGAGCTGATGGGAGTGCCGGGCCCAAGAGGAGGAGGAGGAGGAGGAGGAGGAGGAGGAGGAGGAGGAGGAGGAGGAGGAGGAGGAGGAGGAGGAGGCGGAGGAGGAGGAGGAGGAGGAGGAGGAGGTGGAGGTGGGGGGAGGAGGAGGAGGAGGAGGAGGAGGAGGGGGGGGAGGGTGAGGAGGAGGAGGAGGAGGAGGAGGAGGAGGAGGAGGAAACAACTTTCGTCCTGGGGACGTATGGGGAGGAAGAGGGCGAAAGGGGCGTCCTGTCTGTCACACGGGGCGGAATATCGTGCCCTCGGCCCACCGCGCGCCCTCGGGCGCCCCGCCCCCCGCGGGCTCGGGCCCCACGCCGCCCGCCCGGGCGCGCTCCGACGCCCTGCTCACGATCAGCAGGGTGCCCTCCACGACGGGCACCTTCTTGTGGGAAAGCAGTGGTTTTGGCCTCTTCGGGCCCTCCTGGAGGACCTCTCGGAGGCCTCCTGGGCCGTCTTGAAGGCCTCTTGGGCACCTCTTGAGCCGTCTTGGAGGTTTCTTGGGCGGTCTTGGAGGCATCTCCTCCTCTCCTGGGCCGTCTTGCAGGCCATCTTGGACCAAAAATCGTCCCCCGACAATTTTTGGACTATTTTTGAATATTCCTCCTGTAGAGGGACACGCCCGACTTACAACTAGAATGCAGATGCCTGGATGGGAGGTCCAAGCTGGATCCCCGAACCTGGAAGCCTGAATCCGCATATCTGGATCGGGCGGTCCAACCCTGACCCGGAACCCCTGAACTGAAGGGGCCCTGCGACACACAAATAAATAGACACACAAAAAACAGGATTCCACATATTCTCCCACATTTTCTGGGTTTCTGTCTTCGCCCCCACACTTCCCATATTTTCCCATATTTTCTGGGGAATCGAGGATAAATTGTGTCTGTGTGCTTCTTCCCTCCTGAACCTTCACGGCGACGTCCACGGGACACTCGTAGTGCGCGTGGGGCCGGGGGTGCTTCGAGCACCGGCAGGGCTGGCCCCACCTCTTGGGGCCCTGGCCAGACTCCCGCTTGGCGGCGGCGAACACCTGGTTCACCTCCGCCCGCGTCCTGCAGCCCTCCAGCGGCCGGATCTCGTCCACGCTGAGGGAGGGGTTGTTGTTGACCTCCAGCAGCCAGGGCCGAGCGCCCTCGTCCAGCAGCACGTCCATGCCCACGATCTGGAAGCAGCGCTCGAACTTCTCCTGGGCCTGGAGCGCCACCTCCTCGCTGCCCTCCCATGTGGCGGGGTTGAAGCCCGCGGCCGTGAGCGGCGACGCCATGGCGTCCACCGTCTGCCGCGCCAGGGACTCCAGCCGCTCCCACAGGGACTCTGCGCTGCCGCCGCCCAGCGACCCGCGGGCCTCCAGCCCGGACAGCACCGCGGAGAGCGCCCGCTTGCAGCCGGAGTCGCCGCTGGCCGCGTCGTCGCTGAACACAAACTTCTCCGAGAACTTGCTGAGGCTGTAGTTGGTCAGGTGCACGGTCAGCTTGTGCAGGTTCCGCGGCACTGGCGCCTCGTAGGGGTCGATGCAAACCCTCACCAAGCCCTCGCGGGCAAGCCAGCACGAGAGTCCTCCACGCGGAGACGGCATCACTAGGGCGTAGAGCCGGCAATCCCACTTGTAGCCGTCCAACAATAGAGGCCGGTCCACGTACTCCTGCACGATAGCGGCTGGAAACAGAAGCTTCTCCAGGCCTCTGCGGAGCTCGTCGCGCGTGCGTGCCAAGTGGATGCCCTCGCCGTGTGAGCCCCCATCTGGCTTCACAATGAGGCACACCTCCCCAGTGGCGAAGGCGTCCTTGACAATGGCCTGCGCCGAAAACTCCGGGACCCGCCAGGACCGCGGCCAGAAATCTGCACCCTGCGCCTGGAGCCCCCGCGCGAGCGACACCTTGCCGCAGGCGTGCGACATGCCCGGGATGTGCGACAGCAGCTGCCGGGGTCTCAGCCGGAGCAGCCAGTCCGCCACGTCCTCGTTGCGGACCACCCACGCGACGGTGCCGCTGCTGCCTCCCCTGCAGACGCCCCACCCCAGCTTCTCGGCCACCTGCACGCAGAAGGCATCCATACACCACCACCCTTCCTCGCCAGAGCCATCCTGGGCCTGGGCAGGGTGTAAACGCCTCCTGACTGAAGCCGAAGTGTCTGTACACCATCGTGGAGCCCGGGGTGGCCCTGGCGCTGGGCACGGTGGCGGTGTATATATAGATGGCATCTGCGGAACCTGCACCAGGACCTCCTCGTTCCGCCGGGCGCACCCCACGTCGATGCACGGGACGCGCCGGCTGCCTCGCTGCTCGGGCGGCGGCGGCGACGCCGCGGGCCCGCCCCGGGCCGCCAGCGGCGGCGCGGTCGAGGAGCGGCTGGGCTCCGGCGGCGAGCCCCGGCGAGGCCCGCTGGCCCCGACGGACGGCAGGCGCGCCCCGCGCGCAGGGGCGGCGGCGCCCGCGGCCGCGACGAGGCTGGCGCTGCGGTCCTTGCCGGCCGGGCCGCGGGCGCGGCCCGCGCGCGGGGCGGGGTCGGCGGCGCCGCGGCGGGCCCTGGGCGGCGCCCTGCACACCGCGGGGGCCGCCGCAGCCTGGCTGGCCATGGCGCGGCGCGGTCCCGCGCGGCGAGAGGGCGGGGCGCGCGAGCGCGCGGGAGGGGCCTGAGGAGGGCCAAGGGAGCTACGGAGTGTCTGCTGCTGCCTCGGTCTTGCTGCAGCTCGCGCTCTGCTTGTCGCCGCTGCCCTCGTGACTGCTCTCTCTCTCTCTCTCTCTTCCCCTGCCCTCCGGGAGCACATGGAACGAAGGAGGGGAGAGGGGAAGGGGGCAGGAGAGGTAGGATGAGGATGGAGGGGACGAGGGGGGGGACGGGGAGCATTGGGAGGGGCAGGAGGGCGCAAGGCGAGGAAGATGGAGGGAGTGAGGGTGGATGACGATGAGCAGAGCACGAGCAGGAGGGGGCGGGGTATGAGGAGGAGAAGGGGCAGGATCGGGTGAACGTAAGCAAGAATCCCACAACCCGAAGCGTGTGACGGGTGTGCCGGAATGGGTGCGATGATGCCGCCATGCGAACGCAGCCACTGGGGCCTTCGGTGGAGCTCCCTATGGGGCCACGAAGCGTGTGAGGGGTGTGCCGAAATGGGTGCGGTGCCGCCATGCGAACGCAGCCACTGGGGCCCTCGGTGGAACTCCTTACGGGGCCACGAAATGTGTGAGAGGTGTGCCGAAATGGGCGCGGTGCCGCCATGCGAACGCAGCCAGTGGGGCCTTCGGTCGAGCTCCCTATGGGGCCACGAAACGTGTGAGGGGTGTGCCGAAATCGGTGCGGTGCCGCCATGCGAACGCAGCCACGACCATATAAACGGGGCCCTCGGTGGAAAAAAAAGAAAAGAGAAAAAAAAAAACGAGAAAGAAAGAAAATAAATAATAAACAAAAACGATATAAGAAAAAAAAAAAGAAAAAAAAACTAAAAAGCAATACTAAGGAACCAGAAAAAATAAACGAGGAGAAAAACAAAAAACAAATATAAAAATAAAGAAAAAAAAACTAAAAAAAAAAAAATGGAAAAAAGAAAAAAAAAAAAAATAAAACAAAAATAAAAATGAGAACAGAAACAAAAACAGAAAAAAACACATAAAACGGATAAAAGAAAATCCGAAGATGGCGAAAAGAGAGGCCCCCTATGGGGCCACGAAACGTTGACGGGGTGGCCGACATGGGTGCGGTGCCGTCCATGCTAACGCAGCCCATCACAGACCACACCCCCCACCGAGACTGGGGCCCTCGGTGGAGCTCCCTATGGGGCCACGAAACGTGTGACGGGTGTGCCGAAATGGGTGTGGCTGACGCGGAGGGGGAGGGGGGAGGAGGCGGAGGAGGAGGAAGGAAGGAGGGAGAGGAGACGCGGGGCACCGTCTCTTCAAAACGAGAACCCAACACCACAGGATGGTTGGGAAAAAAAACAATCAACATGCACGTCGCGGCTAAATCTGGATCATGCCCGGCCACCTCGCGATTACTGCCCAGCGGGGGGGCTGGCATATTGCCTGCTGTGCGCAGGCCCACCAGACACCAGACACCATGATCATCATGTGCTGATAGGATGAGGGGGGGGGACACGAACGGAAGGCGCCAAGCTGTAGGGCGGGGGATAGGAGGGCGCACTGGGACCTCCAATCCATGAACTTTGGCAGGCTGGGCCGCACCCGTTAGCACTTCCCCAACCATGATGGCCGTCCCGCCGTGATTGCCTACTGGTTTTCGACAAGGATGGTGGGGGCCGACACGTTTCCCGATGCGTGCTGTAACGTGCGCGGGTGCACCTGGCATACTCTGCGCGTGCCCCGGTCGTGGCGCCCGGGGCGCGGCGGCACACATGGCGCACGTGGAGCACGTGGCGCATCTGGCGCGCTAGGGCACGCTTGTGCCCCAGGGGTGCATGGCGCACCTGGAGCGCCTGGCACGCGAGGCACACCTCGCCCCAGCTTCGCGCACACGGGGTTTGCATTGGTTCCTCATAGCTGCCCATCCACAGACGACCGCTCAACATGCTGAGGCTCGGGTGGTATTTCTGTGTTGGGAGGGCGGTCGGGAGTGAGCGAGTCAGCTTGAGGGCGGGGAGGGTGTCTTGATATATACCGCACCCGTCCCCCCCGACCAGCGACAAACCCAGGACCATGACAACACCCCCTCCGCCATCCCTATCATAACAATACAACATGCACTTTGAACCATAATCTGGATGATGCGCGGACGCCCCGCGATCACGTTGCAATTGTTTTTGACATGGACGGCGGGGGGGGTCAGCAAATTGTCTGCTGTGCGCAGTGCCAGCACACCCCAACCACCCCTTGCACCACATGCTGGATCATATGCGGACGCCCCGCTGTCTCTTCGCCTTGGTTTTTGGAAGGGACGGCGGAAGGGCCACCATATTGCCTGCTGTGTGCAGTGCCAGCAACCCTAACCATCCCTTGCAACAAAAACAAACACAACATGCAATATACACTAAAATCTGGATCATGCGCGGACGCCCCGCGATCACTTCGCATGGTTCTGTTTTGTTGTCAGGGTCCCGTGCATCAAACATCCCTTGAAATCATTTTTCCACGGCGTAACGAAACAAACACTGCACTGCAACACTTCTGAAATAACCCAGACACAAGCCCTCAACGCATGCAAAACACACCGTAGACCCGGACAAAGACCCGAATCCTGCAGAACAGCAACAAACACTTGCGCGGACGACCAAATCCGACTTTGCAGGGAAGGGTGCCGTTTCCCCGACTTGCCAATGTCCTGGTTAGTCTGTGTCCTTGTCCCTGGGGGCCTGGTTTTGACAGAGAGGCGGGGGGCTGGACTGCCTGCGTTGTGCAGGCCCGCCATCGCCAGCAACAAAACAATACGGAGCCTACTTTGCCAGGGGCGGCGGGGGGGGCGGCCTGCTGCCTGCTGCGCGCAGGCCTAACATCCCTGTCAAAAACAAGTGCAGAGCGACTGCGGGTGCACACCCACACACACGCACACAATTCACAATGCTCGCAAACCCGCCGCCACTGCGCAATCGTTTTTGACACAGGATGGTAGGGGTGGTCGACCTATTGCCCAACGTGGCGCACCCGGTGCGCGTGGCGCACCTGGCACCTGCGGCGCACCTGGCACGTGCGGCGCACCTCGCGGGCATCGCGCAAGTGGCCGGCATCTGCATGGCTCCCGATGGCCGTCGATGGCGGCCCCTGCCGTAGCTTGATCACTGCTCTGCATTGACATCGCTGCTCCCTCTGAGAAGCACCCCCGCCCCCAAGCGAACGGCAACCAATCAGGACCAATGGAGCAGGAGGAGCAGGAGGAGGGGAAGGAGGAGGAGGAGGAGGAGGAGGAGGAGGAGGAGGAGGAGGAGGAGACCCCCCCCCCCGATGCGACCCCTCCCCAAATGAGCGGCACGCCTTGCGGCCTGGGGCAGCTGGACCACTGCGCCCGGCTGCCCCCTGTCAGTGAGCACCCCCTCCCGCCCTCGACCGGCAGCCAACCCGGACCCCATGAGCCCCCCCTTCGGCGGCAACCCATGGGGGCCTCCCATACCATCTTGGTCGGCTCTTGCGAATCGACGCGAAATCGACGCTGGTCGACGCTAAATCGACGCGAATCGACGCTAAATCGGCGCTGAATCGGCGCTGTCTCATCGACTCTAGACGCTAATCGACGCTAGAGACGGGATTAAGGGGTTACTCCACGCTCCCATGATTCGCTACCGACCCCCCGCCACCATCCCTGTAAAACACAAAACACAAGGCACTTTGCCTCCAAATGCAGAGCATGCGCGGGCGCCCTGCGACCACTTCGTACTGGTATCTTGTTGATAATGACGGCGAGGGTGCCGGCATGTGACCTGCTTTGTGCCATGCCGACACTCCCCTTCCATCCTTTGCACAAACTAGACCAACAACACGGCGTTCATTTCTAATCGTGCTCATTTCCAATCGTGCTCGTTTCAAACTGTTCCTGGCCTCCCAGTGGCCAGGAAGAGGCCCATGATAGAAGAATTCGAAATGAAAGGATCCTGGCCCCCCAAAAAATCAAGGAATTCTCAAGGAATTAGAAGTGAACAGTGTATACTCTGGGGCAAACGCCGAGGTCGTGCGCGAGGCGGGCGCGAGCACTCTGCCTGTTTGTTTGATAGGGGCCGCGGGGGTGCCAGCAAAATGGTCTGCTGTGTGCAGGGCCACCATGCCTCGAAGATTCCAATGGTCCAGCCTCCTCCTCCTCTTCTTTTTTCTTATGTTTGTTCTTTTTCTTCCTCCTCTTCCTCCTCCTCCTCCTTCCCCCTTCTCCTGTTCCTGCTGCTGCTCCTCCTCCTCCTCCTCCTCCTCCTCCTCTTCCTCGTCTTATGAATATTCTCCGTATTATTATCATGTTTCTTCCTCATCTTCCTTTCTTCCTCTTCTTCCTGTCCTTCCTCTTCTTCCACTTCTTCCTCTTCTTCCTCCTCCTCCTCCTCCCTCCCTCCCTCCCTCCCTCCTCCC